ACCAGAGTCGGTCCAACATTAAAATTGCAACTAGAAAGGTTTAAATTCAAAGATATACCTAGTTACCTCTTGCATTCGATCATTTTCCAGCAACTCCCTCCATAAAACTGATGTTTTATTATTTCACAAAATCTATTACACCAACTTCACCTATATTATAACTTATTCATATTATATAATTAATCTTTTTTATCAAAAAATTAGAGTCGGAAAAAGAAAACAAAAAATATTCAAGCCAAACGGATCAGCAAGTCGCGGTCCATCCCAACTTTTCTTATCAACACCTTTTAAGAATCTTATACGAACTTTTCAACATTTAAATTCAGTTATCCGTTTATTTAATAAATAATAATACTCAATATATCAGTCTATCTTCTCTGATAATTCTTGTATTTGTAATTTTAAGTTTTTAACAGTTTACAACTGTTTTTTTTTTTTTGGGAGAATTACAATGAGCAAGTAAGGAAAACAATTGAAAAATAAGTCCCAAAGATTGTTATTCTCACTATAAGATTTGTCATTATAAGCTATTGAGATTGTTATTAAGACTTTTTAGTAATTATTTTTTTTCTGTGGGATTTAATTATAATTTTTTTTTTCTTTGGGGCCAAGAAGCGTTTACAACTTAACACAGTGTGCTATGTGGTGACGGTATTAAGTCAAATCACACCCTTGAAGGAAAACTTTAATTAAAGACTTCAAATGGGCCGAATAATTTCTGATCTGGATTGGATTGTCCTCTCCTAGTTTGGGCCTAACATGTTATCCAGAGTAAATGCCCATTTGCAAAAAAACTGTTCCGAGGCTCAAAGTCATGATTTTGAACCAACAAGAGTTGAATAAAAAAAACCAATTTATTATAACATGATGAACTAATGTTCGAATTCTCACTATAAAAGGTACTCATATTTAATATCAAATAATGTTTCAAACAGGATTACTTCCGAAAAAAGAATATTTGTGGTTAGAAAAAAAAAATCATGGAATTTGAAGCCTAATCCATGTTTGTTGAGAGTGGCTACCAAGTAACACAATTTTCAAATTCGTAGTTTTGAATTTTAAAACCAAATAGTACCATTTTTTTTTCAAACCACGTTTAAGCCCAAAATCTTATTTAGGAATAGAAGCAAATTGTACCTACTTTTGGGTAACTTCAGTTTTGGCCAAACTCAATTTTGGCCAATTTTGATTTTGCTTAAAGCCAAGTTTGCAAAGTTAATTAATTCTACCAATAAACACTAAACTAAACAAGCTTTAAATACATAAATAACTAAAGCCACGTGACATTTATCAACATTCTGCTAATTTATTTTATTTATTTATTTTTTTGCCAATTACATCGAGAAAGAAATCACCTCTCTCCTGCATTCAAGGGGCGTTAAAAAATAATTAAAAAAGTAAAGGACTTATTACCAAATATTTTCAGATCTGCGTTTACCACTATAGAAGATCATCCCCCGCCCAAAAAAAAAAAACAAAAAGCCGATATTTTTGGAGCTTCGTTTATTTATCTTTTATTTGATCGGCCTTGTTTACTTATTTATATTTTTTTAAAAGCAGTTTCGTTTTATGTTCTTGCGTGTCATTAAGGCATCATCATCATAAAGCACGAACCTGACATAAGTTTCAATATTATATTAACCCTTTACATACAATGCTTAGGTCAACTTATTTGCTTTTCCAATAATAATATAACTGTTTTATAACTAATCTTATCACAGTCAACAAATGTATAGTGGTTATGTCACATGATGCATAGATTCACATTTACAAAATGTGAAAGTCACTTCTTCACCATGTTAGAGATATAGGTTTTATATTTAGAGAGTATCATGGTCTTTTCAGTAATGTGCTGGTCATTATCTCAATAAAATAGCTGTCGATTTTAAGTACTTCTCCGGTTCTTAATATAAAACCTAATTAACTAATTTGAAAAGATTAAGAATGTTAGTTAAATTAGTTAATATGATTTTTTTTTCCAAAACACCCTAAGTATCTTCTTTAATTCTCTCCTTCTTTCTCTTATTTGATTATTATTAGGAGAATACCAATAGGGTTAATTTGGAAAAAAATAATAAATATGTGAAATAGATCTTATATATAGAATTGATATTAACTCCTTAATTGACTTCTAGATTAAGGACCGGAAGAGTAATTATTACAAATATGGGTTTGATTTATTTATTTATTTATTCTTTTACATTCATCATCTTATGTTTTTTTTAATCTTTATTTGGTATTATAAATAGATGGGAGGACAAAACTAAAACTGAGTCCTTAAGATTATTTGGGGGCAAAAATCTTAAGAAAATCTTGACTAGCTAAGTACATGTTGGGTTATGGTATAAAGCTTCTCAAACTTGGCCTCCATCTTAGGAAACTCAAGTTGGAAGAGGAAATTGAAATAAAATCTAGAAGTCCAAATGACAAGTGAGCATTTTGTAATGGCAAATTTTAAGATTACTTCTTCCTTGTTATTGAGACTTTTTAGTAATTATTTTCTTTATTTGAGATCTCATAGTAATTCTCCATGTTGGAATATTGCTTTCATTATGAAAGTTTGCTCAGGCTTCATCGCTAAACCGAACAAGTCAAGGTTTTAAGGGATAAGTCCAAATGCAACAAACCTACCATTCCCTCGTTAAACCTCGTCCATCTGATTTTTTACTTGGACTAGAATCTTCTTGGGACAAACTCATGTCATATGGGAAATACGTAGGATTAGGGATTGGGAAAAGGAATCAAGTTTCTTTATGGTTTGATAGATGGTCATCACTTTTTCCTCAACCTCTAGTTTGATATGGTTCTAATGCGGATGCAATATTCTTAATGCCAGAGTCACTAATTTTAAAACTTTAGCAAGGGGTTGGGACTTAAAACAAGATGATCCGTTATCCTTCTATGAATGTCATCAACCAAATATTTCTTGTTCAACAGCTGCCTGATTCGAATGAGGATGGATGATGATGATGCTCTTTGTTGGAGACCTTTCGTTGATGGCAACTTCTTAATCAAATTTCTGCCTATAAAGCCACTGAAAATTAAAATTACAAAAAAAAAAAAATCGCTTCCAACCCCGACATTTGGACAGAAATGTGGAAATAGCTCACCTATAATGAGATAATCAAAACCTTCCTTTGGAAAGTTAGATAATTGCAGCTGAACTATTGGAAAATGAAAACCTTCTTCTGTCTGGAATGAAAAGCTTCTACGAGAGTCAATGTTTACTACAATTCCTTGGAAGCTATCATCCTCATTCAGATAGAACAAGCACGTTCGAAATTATCCTTTTTCTCCCATTTTTTGGATATGATTATGCACGAATCTTCTCATGCGAGATTGGATTGTCTCTTTCGATCACCCCTTTCGAGAAGATAATACCTACTAACTAACTCATAAAGCAGACCATTATAGCTTGAACGTTACGATTTTAAATAACCATATCCCCTGAGATATAGGGATTTATTAATCTCTGATTTGACTTAATCCCTATTTTATGCGCACCGTCCTAACCGTGGCTTTAATTTTGTTATTCAAAAAGAAAAATTGTCAAACTAGAGCGTGGCTTCCCTTGAATAAAGTATGGGGTAAGCTATCCTTTTTTAATATAATATACAGGTAAATACATATACATACATCCCCAACTCTTCAATAGCTCTTCGGAAAAATTGTAGTCTCTGCGTGTAAAGGAATATAAAATGGATTTTGGTGGCCCCAAGCAAACATGGGGTAAGAGAAGGGAACATGTGCCGACTGATTAAACATAATCATGAATACCCCCTCTGGGCTCCAAGATTTGAAAACATAATGCCTGCAAAAACACTCATGGGAGACCTTCGGCCTTCACCACATTCTAACCGAACTGGATCAGTTGGTTGTTCGAATATCTGGTAATACGATTCATAAAAGGTACTGATTATCGGTCACCATGTTTTTTTTTTTAAAACAAAACCTTGATGTAGGTTTGGAAAAAAAAAAAAAGGTTAAGTGGGCCCTTTCTGTCCAACGATGCTCTTTGTGCAGAGAAGAGAAAGTCAAGGAAGGAGTTGACTATTAGGTCGTAGAAGGGAGTGCTTCCTGCTGGGGCGACGACCGTACGGTAGCCGCGATCACTAGTTCCCTTATAATATTCCAGTTCCAGTTACGTGCCAACCCTATAAACGTGGAGCTAATTAAGTTGTTACTCAAACTAACTATGCTTTTAATATTCTATTTTATAACTCCTCATTCTTGGATCTCCAATCTTTAATTTGACCTTTAATTTCTTTTTCTCCTCTCTTTTGTTTTTGGCACATACTCTATTCAATCTTCATTTCAATTTAGTAATTTACCGGTGCGTTACTCTTGAGATTGGCATGTGAGAAGTAAAATAATTGATTCTCTTAATGCATCAATAGAATAGTAAAGGAACTTGGTTTTGATTCAAGCTAACCTCATCGGCTGATAATATCATCATTAATCTTAATATATATATATATCATTCCCGTTTAAAGAAAATTAAATTGCATTCGTAGCTTATAATTTTCAAAAAATTCAGTTTAATTCATGAGAGGTATGTTAAAAGCTTCAAATTCAACGGCACGTTTGAATTATTTTGCTTTCAATATTGAATTAAGAGATTTATGTCAATGCAAATAAACAAAAGCAATCTGCAGGATTGGATTTTGATTGACTAAACATATATTGCGTATTTGTTCTGATTCAACATTGTTTGAAAAATTATTTAAATATTTTAAAAATCAAAATCAGATTAATTAGTTTTTTAAAAAAAATGAAAAACTACTGTAAAATTAGAGTTAAATAATTTAAAAAATAAAATTAAAATTAAAATAAATTTATCACATTGAAATTAAATCAAAATAAAATTTAAAATTATTATACACACAAAAATTTATTTAGCCTAACCAACCCCGCAGACACACACACACACACAAACAAACCTCAACAAATCAAAACCACATCTTCGCCTCCGAACAACTCACATCATCACCACCTTCAATGGCGGAGAAGCACGTCGACGCCTAAAACTAAACCAGAAAAACAGAACAACAATTCTGCAGCTTCTACATTCTTCACCACCGCATCCATGGCGGACGTCGACGTTTCGAACAACGGTCTCAATCGGACGAAGAAGAAGAATAACGCCAATCTTTTACTCGGCCGCTATGAAGTAGGAAAACTCCTCGGCCATGGCACCTTCGCGAAGGTTTACTACGCTCGAAACATCAAAACCGACGAAGAAGTCGCAATTAAGATCATCGACAAAGAGAAAATCCTCAAGGGCGGCTTAGTCGCTCACATCAAGCGCGAGATCTCAATCCTCCGCCGCGTCCGCCACCCCAACATCGTCCAGCTCTTCGAAGTCATGGCCACGAAGACGAAGATCTACTTCGTCATGGAATACGTCCGCGGCGGTGAGTTATTCAATAAAGTCGCAAAAGGCCGATTGAAGGAAGGAGTCGCCAGAAAGTATTTCCAGCAATTGATCTCCGCCGTAGAATTCTGCCACGCCAGAGGCGTGTACCACCGCGATCTCAAGCCAGAAAACTTGTTACTCGACGAAAACGGTGATCTCAAGGTCTCCGATTTCGGCCTCAGCACTGTCTCCGATCAAATCAGACAAGACGGATTGTTTCATACTTTTTGTGGAACGCCTGCCTATGTTGCTCCTGAGGTTCTGGCAAGAAAAGGATACGACGGAGCCAAAGTTGATCTCTGGTCTTGTGGCGTTATTCTCTTCGTTTTAATGGCAGGTTATTTACCATTCCATGATCAGAACGTTATGGCTATGTACAAGAAGATTTACAGAGGAGTTTTCCGGTGTCCCAAGTGGTTCTCACCGGAGCTAAACTTATTATGTACTCGTCTTCTCGATACAAACCCAGAAACCAGAATCTCAATTCCAGATATCATGGAAAACAAGTGGTTCAAGAAAGGGTTCAAACAAATCAAGTTTTATTTCGACGACGATAAGCTCTGTACCAGCGTTGAAGATATTGACAAACTGGATTTAAACAAGGACGACATAGACTCAATCTCAGATTATTCAGTATCAGAATCCGATTCAGAACTAGAGGTCAAAAGAAGAAGCAACGCTTCATTGCCAAGACCAGCAAGCTTGAATGCATTTGATATAATATCATTCTCTGCAGGCTTCGATCTTTCTGGGTTGTTCGAGGAGAAAGGGGACGAGGCGAGGTTCGTGTCCGGCGCGCCAGTGTCAGAGATCATATCGAAGTTGGAGGAAATTGCGCAGTTGGTGAGCTTTACAGTGAGGAAGAAGGATTGCAGGGTGAGCTTGAAGGGATCAAGGGAAGGTGTGAAGGGGCCACTGACGATTGCTGCCGAGATATTCGAGCTTACTCCGTCGTTGGTGGTGGTGGAAGTGAAGAAGAAGGCAGGGGATAAAACAGAGTATGAACAGTTTTGTAACTCTGAATTGAAACCTGGCCTACAGAAGTTAATGATGAAGTATGAATCAGCAACTTCTTCTTCCAAGAGAAATTCTTCTGATGAGAGTCCTCACTCTGATTCTGATTCTTAGAATTGTCCACACTAGTTAACTCTCGGATATTGAATCCTTATTTTTTCTCCTCTGCTTTAAGTTGTTCATACATGGTAATCTTTTGTCATCTTTTCTTTTCTGGACTTAGGGTTTTGTCCTTGACTGGAGTCGTAGATTCTATGGTTCTTTTTTATGTACAAACTATAAGTGCTATGCTGCAACAAGCCTAATTTGAATAATAAATGATCAGACATATCAATAATTATCAATACATAGCCAGCCAAACCGCAGTGAAAACTCATTCTTCAGACTCTGTATTGGACAAAATATGTATGTAGTTGAGTATATATCTCTGCTGGGCTTGTATAACTTCATATTTAGTTTTCTTATTAGTTTGAAGTATAAGGAAGTATAAATGTGGTTCCTTGCAAGAAATCTAATGGGGTTTTGGTTGAATTACTCCATTGATCTTAATTCTTTGCATTACAAGTCTATATTCGTAAGATATATAGTTCATAATTATATATCTTGCCATATATCTCAACCTTCATCATAAAAACATGAGACTTCCTATTCGAACCCAAGATATATTCATATTCACTTTTTTAAATATCTCACACAACTACCTTATCTTTTATCTCTTATTAAGAATTCAAACTCTTGTGCAAGAAAAACTTTATAAAAAAAAATGCCGAGTGTTAATTGAGTTATAAGGCCCAAGCTCCACATATTCATATCCAATCCTACTTTAATTTTGGGAGAATTACAATGAGAAAAAAAGAAAAAAATAATTATAAAATAAGTTTTAAAAGTTATCATTTTTTACTCTAAAATTTATTATTACAGACTGTTGAGCTTGTTATTATAATATTTTAGTAATTTTTTTTTGCTTTCGACCTCATTGTAATTCTCCGTTTAATTTATACCGATATCTCATTACTATTACTATTATTATTATTTAATTAGGATAAAGTCTTTCTTTAAGAAAATTATTGAAATTACATAATTTTTATTTACTTTGTCAAATTGAGAAGAAACTATACCTCAATCTTGAGTCTTGTGCGTAGAGCCTAGGGCTAGAACTAACCCCAATGACCTTTATTCTAAGGGAAAATCACTAACAGGTCCCACAGAAGGCAATTTATTGCTCTGAGGTCCCACAAAATGTCAAAATCATTGACTGGTCCCAAGGGACCTCAGAGTAATATTTTCGTTTTGTAAAATGACATAACTGCCCCTCATATTCCAGATTCACATTTGCTCTGTCATTACGATTTACAACCTCAGCAGTGACTATTAACAACCTAATGAGAGGGCGTTAACAACCCTAGCAGTATCCGTTAACAACTTACTTTATAGAATTATATAACCTCTACATAAGAGTAAATTATAACCAAATAATATAATACAACAACTTTAACACTAAAATGGGAAGCTTTTTGATATCATTAAGAATTTTAACTAGATCCAATAGGATTATAGTAATATTTTAATGCGAATATCCATTTACAACCTCAACAGTGACTATTAACAACCGAATGAGAAGGCATTAACAACTTAAGCAGTATCAGTTAACAACTTACTTTATAGAATATATAACCTCCGCATAAGAGTAAATTATAACCAAATAGTATAATACAACAACTTTAATACTAAAATGGAAAGCTTTTTAATATCATTAAGAATTTTAACTAAACCCAATAGGATTATAGCAACATTTTAATGCAAAGATCCATTTACAACCTCAACGGTGAGTATTAATAACCCAAAGAGAGCTGTTGACAATCTAGGCAGTATCTATTAACAATTGACTTTATAGGATAATATAACCTCTAACAACTATATAAGATTAACTTTAAGACTATTTAGTTATAGTTTAATTAGTTATAGTTAGAAGTTATATTATCCGATAAAGTTAGTTGTTAACAGACACTGCTAAGGTTGTTAACAATTCTCCTTAGGTTATTAATACTTACTGTTGAGGTTGTAAATGGATTTTCGCATTAAAATGTTGCTATAATCCCATTGGGTTTGGTTAAAATTCTTAATGATATCAAAAAGCTTCCCATTTTAGTGTTAAAGTTGTTGTATTATACTATTTGGTTATAATTTACTCTTACGCGGAGGTTATATAATTCTATAAAGTAAGTTGTTAACGGATACTGCTTAGGTTGTTAATGCCTTCTCATTCGGTTGTTAATAGTCGCTATTGAGGTTGTAAATGGATCTTCGCATTAAAATATTACTATAATCCTATTGGATTTAGTTAAAATTCTTAATGATATCAAAAAGCTTCCTATTTTAGTGTTAAAGTTGTTGTATTATACTATTTGGTTATAATTTACTCTTATGCAGAGGTTATATAATTCTATAAAGTAAGTTGTTAACGGCTACTGCTTAGGTTGTTAATGCCCTCTCATTTGGTTGTTAATAATCGCTGTTGAGATTGTAAATGGATATTCGCATTAAAATATTACTATAATCCTATTGGATCTAGTTAAAATTCTTAATGATATCAAAAAGCTTCCTATTTTAGTGTTAAAGTTGTTGTATTATATTATTTGGTTATAATTTACTCTTATGTAGAGGTTATATAATTCTATAAAGTAAGTTGTTAACGGATACTGCTAGGGTTGTTAACGTCCTCTTATTAGGTTGTTAATAGTCGCTGCTGAGGTTGTAAATCGTAATGACAGAGCAAATGTGAATCTGGAATATGAGGGGCAGTAATGTCATTTTACAAAACGAAAATATTACTCTGAGGTCCCTTGAGACCTGTCAGTGATTTTGACATTTCGTGGGACCTCAGAGTAATAAATTGCCTTCTGTGGGACCTGTTAGTGATTTTCCCTTATTCTAATGCTCCCTTTTAATAAAAGAGAGTTTCGAAAAGCCTTATTTTGGTCTAAACGGCATGACATAAAGAGCTCAAACCTGCATATCAATTTATATATTTGTGTGTGTGTATATATGTATATGTATATGTATAATTGAATTATTATTTATTATTATGGAACTAGGTCCACCCTAGCCTTCGGCATGATTTGGCATGTAAAATAAAATGAAACCAAAAAAAAAGGACAAAAATTTAAGAACTCATTTGTCTACTAAAGAAAGAAAGCTGCCTCCCTTATTGAAACCTTAAAAGGGGAAGGAAAAAAAAAAATCCACCACACAGCCTTGTTAGGCCTTGACAAAGAATTATATTTTGTGTTTGAATGAGAAAAGAAAATGGATATAGAAGAGAAAAGTGCGTATAAAATATTTTCACTCCTTATATTTAGATAAATAGAAGAAAAAAACACTAATTTATGCTTATTTTTATTGTAATTATTTAAATTGAATTAAAAATTTAATTATATATACACTATCAACATAGAGCAATGTCATTTGAGCCGGGGCTCATTTGCATTGGAATTGAAAACTCAATTATAAGTATACTGTATCACCATATCTATTATACTTTCTAGAATCAATTCCCCAACCTCCTCAATAAGGGGGTAGAGAGATGTCATTAAAGCCAAGGCTCATTTGTATTGGAATTGCTTCTCTCATAAATAACTCCCATAATATGTGTAATTAAGCAGAAAAAAATTAAAGAAGTATATATTTAGAAGACAAATTAAATTAAAATATTATTTCTAAGGCTAAAACAAATACCTCTATTAACTCTTATACTAAAGATAATAGGAATAATGTGCAGTACATGGTAACAACTTCTTAAATGGGTAATGAAGATTGAGCTTAAAAAAAGATTAAATTAAAATTCCTAAAGAAATCAAATTTCAAAGTTATAGGATGGAGAAACATATTCAAGAGAATTATAATAAAATTCTAAGCTAAAAAAATAATTACCATAAAGTCTCAATTACAAGTTAGAAGTTATCATTTTTCACTCTATAACTTATTATTAAAAACTGCTTAATTGTTATTAAGACTTTTTAGTTATTATATTTATTTTTTGAGACTTTTTTGCAATTCTCTCTATTTAAATACGTGATTTGAAAAGTGACTGATGAAATCTCCATGTTGCGGGCAACAATCACCATCCAGATCCACCGGCCAAATGTACAAAAAATAATGAGAAATAAACCAACAAGGACAGGATTGGCGATATATGCGATTATGTCATTGTTTTGCTATGGGAGAGACAATTTATTTTAGGAAAAATTACACTCAGGTCCCACAGAACACAATTAATATAAAAAAGGTCCCTCGAAATCGCGAAATGATTCTGAAGTCCCCAGGGACCTGTGTGTAATTAATTCTAATTGTGAAATTACGTAGTTACCCCTGTTAATTTGAACCTATTTACAACCTCAACAGTGGCTGTTAACAACCCGAGAAGAGGTGGTTAACAACCTCAACAACGCCCCTGGTATTTCACAGAGTGAGTTGTCATGAGCACTGCCGAGGTTGTCAATCACGTCTTCTCGGGTTGTTAACAGCACTGTTGAGATTGTAAATAAAATTAGAACCTATTTACAATATCAACAGTGGCTGTTAACAACTCGAGAAGAGGTGGTTAACAACCTCAACAACGCCTCTAGCATTCCACAAAGTGAGTTGTCATGAGCACTGTCGAGGTTGTCAATCACGTCTTCTTGGGTTGTTAACAGTCACTGTTGAAATTGTAAACGAATTGTTGCAATAAAATTAACAGGGGTAAGTAGGTAATTTCACAATTAGAATTAATTACAAACAGGTCCCTGGGGACTTCAGAATCATTTCGCGATTTCGTGGGACCTTTTTGATATTAATTGTACTCTGTAGGACCTGAGTGTAATTTTCCCTTTATTTTATTAGATGACCTTATTGATATTTTCAGTTCCTTTTGATCTTATTTTAATTTTGAAATCTAAAATCAATAGTTTTATTCCTTGAAATTTGATTTTTCTTTTTTTGGGTTTCCCAAATAAGTATGATCCTATGGCTTCTTTTGGAGGAGTGCATGTGAATAATTAGCATTATGATGTACTTAATATGGGAAGTTCTCACACGTGGTTTAATATAACTGACAATAGCATTATTTCTGGTGACATAATTTTTTGCATGTACAAAGTTCGATTCTTAACCTCAAATAAAATTCCAATCCTTTTCACTCAACTCAACTAATGTTGGTAAATTGCTATTCTAAGTATCAACCAACAAAATGAGGACCATAATGATGACGACTATAATAATAATAATATTTGTAGTCCTGAATATAATATCTACTTGATTAATTAATTAATTTGGATAGATAAAAAAAACTAGTTTAATTAGTTATTTGTTAAAAATAAGTTTTGGTTTATCCAAAATACCATATTAAATCATTTGTACAGAAACGATTTTTTCATTTGTATTGAAACCATTTCTTGACGTTGGTAAATTGCTATTCTAAGTATCAACCAACAAAATGAGGACCATAATGATGACGACCATAATAATAATAATAATAATAATAATATTTGTAGTCCTGAATATAATATCTACTTGATTAATTAATTAATTTGGATAGATAAAAAAAACTAGTTTAATTAGTTATTTGTTAAAAATAAGTTTTGGTTTATCCAAAATACCATATTAAATCATTTGTATAGAAACGATTTTTTCATTTGTATTGAAACCATTTCTTGATGCAAATTCCCTAAATACATACAATTAGTAGAAACAATTTGGGAAAAATAATAAATATGAGGGATAAAATGAAATAAAATCTTATATTTAAGACCAAATTTAACTTCTAACTAGTTTTTATATTAGAAATAGGAGCCGGTAGTAGCAAGATAACCGTCTTTAGAGGCAGAAAATTTGAACTCTACAGTTACAGTTCTGTACAATATTATTATACACAACCTGGGCGCAAGAAAAGAAGAACCAGACGTACAATAGAGACAACCTTCACTACTTTGCAGCAAGTGATTCTGCAGGGTGGAAGACCATATATCTGAACAAAACAAAAACAGAAACAGAAGGGTTGAAATTACACATCCCGCAAGCAAATTAAAAATATAAACCATATCTTCTGGTATATATTGGTGCCAAGTATTGCTGCTACTGTTCACTTCCTTGCCAAGCCCACACTATATCCTTCAATGAAGGCTTCAAGTTCTGATCCCTAAATTGGATATACTCAAACGTATCGCCGGCAGTTTTCTTCACCTCCACGACATGAAACGTTGATGTCACCTCAAAAATCTCTGCATCAATACCAAGTTGTCCCTTCCGACCACTCTTGCTTCCCTCCAACCTCACTAATCCGTCTTTCTTCACAACATTGAATTTTCTCTCTGCTTGTGCTATTTCTTCCAGTTTTGAAACAATTGTTGAGGCGGGCTTCGTGGTGGTGAATCTAGCATGTTGTCTCCGACACGTATCTTCCTCAAACAAACCAGAGAGATCAAATCCTGACGATAGGGATATTAAATCGAAGGCATTGAAGGCAGATGGTTTCACTTTCACTGGGGTTTCTTTGGTTTTTTCCTCTGGACTTGATGATGATGGAGAATCAAAAAGAGCCTGAACATCACTCGTAGGATTGGAAACTGGTGATTTGGGTGGTTCAATCTGCTGATACCCAATTTTAAACCAGCCATTTTCCATAATCTTAGCAATACTTACCCTTGTTCTTGGATTTGGATCCAGAATTCTGGTGATAAGTCTTGTGGTTTGATGTGAGAACCATTTAGGACACTTGAATTCTGCAGTACAAATCTTCCTATACATTTCAATCAGATTCTTATCCTGAAATGGAAGAAAGCCTGCAAGAAGAACAAACAGAATAACCCCACAAGACCATATATCAGCTTTGGCTCCATCATAGCCTTTCTTGTTAAGCACTTCAGGGGCTACATAAGCTGGTGTTCCACAAGTTGTATAGAGAAGACCATCGTTCTTTCTGGGTTCATACAAAGCACTCAACCCAAAATCCGAAATCTTCAGATCCCCATTTTCGTCCAGAAGCAGATTCTCCGGCTTCAGATCTCGGTGATAAACCCCTCGGCTATGGCAGAAATCAACCGCACCGATTAGCTGCTGGAAATACTTTCGCGCCAAATCCTCCTTCAATTTCCCTTTGGCGACTTTGGCGAAGAGCTCGCCGCCTTTGACGTACTCCATGGCGAAGTAAATCTTGTTTTTGCTCGCCATAACTTCATAGAGCTGAACAACGTTTGGGTGCCTTACAAGGTGCATGCCGGAGATCTCACGCTTGATTTGGTCGATCAAGCCGATGCGAAGAATTTTCTGCTTGTTGATGACTTTAATGGCGACGCTCTGGTTGGTTTTGATGTTTCTGGCGTGGTAGACTTTGGCAAATGTGCCTTGGCCGAGCAAACGGCCCAGCTCGTATTTCTCCATCAGCATTGTTCCTTTCTTCTCTGGCTCTGAATCCATTGGGGTTGCAAAGAAAGGAACTGTGGGTTTCAAGGTTGAGATATGAGAATAAAGAGGCGGGAGGACAAGAAGAAGAAGAAGAAGAAGAAGAAGAAGAAGAAGAAGAAGAAGAAGAAGAAGAGGAATGGAGTCAGGCGGAAGCCAACAGATTCACAGAATTATGCCGAAGGCCGTTATTTTGCTCTATTTGTAGAAAATCAGTATATAGATATTACTATTCAGTTTGGTTTTTTTTCCCCTCTTTTTCCTGCGTTATTAAATTTTATAGAAAAAATAAGGGCACAATATAATATAATTTTTTAGGGGCAAAAAATTTAAGTAAACTGGCTCTTTTGCTTATTACTCATTCGAGTATATCTCAATCTCCAAAAAGCATGTATAAAACTATTTTCTTTGGTAAGGGATAAAATTGCCTTTTAGGTTACCTACCAAAAATAATTTCAAACATTAACATGCGCTTTCATTAAAAAATTGTTTTGCTGACAAAGTTATACTACCTCGATGTAAGATTGGAGTAACCTTTAATTATTTGTATTGAAAATTATTCTTTTGATAGAAAATTTTTTAGTTAAAATTAATAAGTACAATCAATAAATAGAATTTAAAAAATATAAATTTAAATAATAAATCTTATATTTATGATTAGATAAACTATTTTTATTAGCTTTTGCACTGAACCGATTAGAGGGAGTAAAGAGCAATATATTGTTGTAAGTTGCGTTGAGAGATGACACAGTGTGATGTAATACATATTCATTAAAATGTAAGTTTAAATACAAATAGAGTATAAAATTTGTAACAATTTATAGGTCATATTTTCTCTTTAAAAAAATTATATGCACCGTTTATGGGCTATGGCGGATATATTTTGTTATATTTAAAGAAAGTGCCTGGCGTACATATTGAAATTTTTGTAAGAAGGATGTAAATAGATTGACGTAAATATTTTGCACGCGCAATTTCTCTGGTGAGTATTATTATTATGCAAATACAAAAAAAAAATCTATTTTGAGATGAAATCAAACATTCTAGGTTCACTAATAAACGTGGTTTTATTTACATTTTTTAAAAAAATTTAGCAAGTTAGGTTACTGGGCTCACGAGGATCAAAACATGCCTACAAGCTCAGAAAACATTTGTAAAGATACTTAGATATTGTCCACCATAATTTTATTGCAAATTATTGACAATAAAATAAAACACCAGGCACATTAATAAATTCTAAAATAATACTCCTCCGGGCCTAAATATAATACCTCTTTTATAATGTAATTTACATTATAAAAGGAGTCTTATATTTAGGACCGGAGGAATAGTATCTCTCATTCAATTTTCATATAATATATAAAAATTAATAAATTGATATTTCAAACATTTTGAAATCGAGTGGCCAACAAAATTTTAAAATCATTGCTATTTTTTTTATTTGAGATAGTTAATTGCCTTTTTTACCATCCTATATATACATTTCTTATCTATCTTTTTTTTTTAGAAATTACACTATAAAATGAGTCTTATATTTAGAACCGGGTGAGAAATTTTTATTTTTTTACTCTCTTTTCTATAAGTAAAGATATTTTGAAGACACTTTTAATTTTTACATATTTATTACTTTTAATCAATTTAATTGACTTTTTGATTTATGTAATTTAATCTAAGATTTCTTATAAAAAAAGAACGGAGGGAATATAAATAATAATAAAAAACTAAGTAATGTTTGCTTTTTCCAAAAAGTACAAAAACCCTTGAATTGTTGTCATATTAAAATTTCTTAAAATATTATTTCTATTTCATGAGTGTTATCAATTAGGAACAAAAAAATTCTTTTAAACATATTTTTTTCCTTTTGAAAAATTAACCAATAATCAAAATGTGTGTTATTTTTATTGAACATAAAAGAAGAAATCTAAGAAACTAGAGGTGGTGATGAGGAACCAAGTTCACAATAATTCCAACTCTTCAATTTGAGAGTGACGGATGTATAAATGTCTGGTTCAGAAACTCCTAACGTCATCTTCAATTTCCGAGCTTTCTTTTTCAATTACAAGTATCGCCACCCAACCAACTAACGAACCGAAAAATAATTAATGCTTGCTCAGATAACGTCAATTGGATTCTGATTCCTTTAAAGCCTGTTTGGTTAAGTGGTAAGATCTCAAATAAGCCCGTTTAAATCTAAATAAGCGATTATGAAATATGTTTGTCTTATTTGGATAATTTTTATAAAATCCTAATCAATCATGATTTTACTCTTATGCCGCACTTTTACAATAAGCAACAAGGAGTAGCTTATACTTTTGAAAAATCCCGATCAATTTTCAGCAATTAAATTTTCTCCAATCTACCCTCCTATCCTCTTCTAAAAATCTCTCTTTAAATATTAACTTTATGTCCTTTTTAGTAATTATACATTTATAAGTAATTTTAATAAATGAAAACCAAACATAATCATAATTCTTAAAATCAGTTATAAAAAAAATATCCAAACAGAAATTACGATTGACCAGTGTCACTTATAGCCAGTGTCATTTGTAAAATTCACGATTATTTAAAATCACAGTTGTTCACTACTAATCCAAACAGACACTTAGAAAGATTTGAAAGGACCAATTTTAAGCAATTTTCTTAAATATACTATATTTTAAGCATCAAGTTATTCTTTCCATAAATAAGACCGGATTAGTTTTTATGGGTAATAAGACCTTTGAGTGTTAATATATAATTTTTGCTCTAAAAAAATATTATACTCCTCTGGCTAATATAGAAGCTAATTGGGGAGTTGATGTTGATCCTATATATAAGACTTATTTTACATATTTATAATTTTTTTAGTCCTTTTGATATTTTGTCAACAATAATCAAGTAATAAAGGGAGGAAGGGAATTAAAAAAGATATTTAAGATGTTTAAAAAAATATATTATATTAACTTATTTAATTAACATCCTTAATTAAGCTTATTATACTTAAATTAGTTAATTAAGTCTTATATTATGGATGTTAAAATTTTATTTTGTCCTGTTGTTATCAAAAAATTTGATAATAGCAAAATTAGTATCCAAAAAAAGAATAGTGAAAATTTATTACTCCTTCCGTTTCTTATTATAAGAAATATTTAATGTTTATAGCATGTTCCTGTATATAAGAGACACTTAAAAGTTATCTCTAATTTTTTGTGTTGATTTCCTATTTTATCTATATTTATTATTTCTAACTTACACACTCTCTCCTTCTTACTTCTTTTTCTTTTAATAATTTAATTGTTCTCTCTCATGCTTTCTCTTCTTATTAATGAAGGTATTTTTGGAAAAAAATTATACTTTTTACATATTGATTGTTTTTAACTAATTTTAACTGTTTTTTTATCAATATAATTTAGTTATTTGTCTCTTATAATAAGAAACGGAACGAGTATTATTTTGGGCACCCAAATCAGCTCCAATTAGATTAAAATGTAAATTTAATGATAACGTAATCATTAAAACTTCTGACCCACTTGAAGGACATTGAATCTGAATGAACCCACCCGATGTGGATTTTTGCGGACCCCAGTGCTGACCAACAGAATCTTAACATTTGGAACAGCCATTGTGTTCCCACGTGGGCCAAGAGCGCGCACCCCAAGCCATGCAGCCTGAGATTTGGATCTTATTTCGATTTTGTTTTTTGAGAGAGCCAAAGAAATACCAACCCAATTACTGGTGGTGTTGAGGTGTTTGGCTTATCTCAAAAGTATATTTTTAAATTGAGATAAATTTTCTTATATGTTTACTTTGTGTTATAAAATTATTTTTAAAATTATAATTTGGTTTTATTTAAACACTCTTAGTAAAAGAGGTTTTAAGAGTTTCCTCACAAACAAAAATTTGGTATACTTGAAAAAAATATTAAACAAAATGTTTTTATATAGTTTATGAAAAGCTAACTCAAATACCCCCAAAGTCTTGAGTTTAAGTATTGTTAGAGATAGCTAGAGGAATCACGGTCAAGATTTACACTTTTCTTTTCTTTATTTTCAAGTGAGTTAATTGCACATACACACATATATATCGAGGACCTACCGGATTATTATGGATTTCCACAACTCAGAATATTATTAGAGAAATTTACCACTTTAAATAGATTTTATCTCATAAATGGGAGAGAGAAATGAGACTTTCGTGGGTTTTGGCTACACCGTGACGCGATATGAAGGGCATGTCTTAGAACCATTCATTCATATAATGAAAACCTCTGGCTTTCTAATTAATTGATATTGACCATTAATGGATTCATCCACCTCAAGGGTCTCATTCCAATGTGACTTCAAGTGGGGAGGCATTTGTGGGATATATATTGCGTGATCTTTTGGACAACATGCAGATAGCAGTAAAAAAGAACAGGGAAAAAAAACGTTTCGTTAATTTTCTTGTGAAAAATTATCATATATGTGGGCCATGAAATTGGCTCTTTTTTTCGTTCAAAAAATCTTAATAATTGCAAGAAAAAATTATATTAATTAAAACATTATTTAAAACAAGTTTTGCATTTAGATGTAGCAATATTGGATTTAGAAGTGAATTACCAAAATAAGTTCAATAAGTCAACTTATTATTATTATTTATTAGAATATTAACATTTTAAATATTATTTTTATTTACAAATTCATCTGCCACAATTTAGAAGTAAAATTTTGAAATTGACTGGCCATCTTATATGCGAGTATTTTGCTTTGACCCATTATATTTTATAGATTTATTTCAGAATTTTCTCGCATTTTTGCAATTTATTTATTGAAATTTCACAACACCTCATCTGTCATTTTGAAGTTCAAAAATTATAATTTTGAAACAATTGTTGAGGCGGGCTTCGTGGGGCCTTTTTTAGCAAAATGCTACAAACAGTAAAAATATATACCAAAATGTTGCACTTTTAAAAATATTTACCAATATGCGACATTTAAAGTCGTTTTTCAGGTGAACAATTTTTAAAGTCATTCTTTTGG